ATATATATCTATATATCATATAGATGCTTTATATATATAGAATTGATTGATCATATAGAATTGATTATTTATATTCCTATTAAATTAAATAAAAGAGCAAGTTTTTACCAATGCTTTAAAGAAAAAAAAATTATATATATTAAAATGTTTATAAATAAGTTGATTGACAAATATAAAAAAGATATGAATATCATGATAAAATCACACTTTGATAAACATATATTTCCATACGTTACTCTAATACAAGATGCTTTGTATCACATTAAATTAATTACTTCTATACTACATTAAGTAGAACAAAAAAAAGAGATTTAACCTTAAATGTTATGAAAGTTATAAAAAACACAATTGATAACAAAGAAAAAGAAAAATAAAAGAGAAAAAGTAAAGTAAATATATAATTTTTCAATTAATAAGAATGAAAACTATGAGAAATAAATGCTAATAAATATCTTTGTCTTTTAATTATTTTCAGTTTCCCATTATCGTGACACAATGCATTATCTTCTACCGCTGTTCTAAATCTGTCGCGCAGGAAGAACAATTTTCGCATCATGAAATCGAACAATAAGCTACGCCGGCGGTGTAATGGATAGCCGACATGTATCCATTGTCGGACTCATCATTTAATAAACTGCCGCTAAAAGTGCGTAATGACAGATGATCAGCTTGCACCGACCGACGACAGCAACGCTCCGCGCAACAATCTGTACTCTTTATTTTTTTTGCGCTTTTTACATCTTCCTCATCCGGAATGAAATTTATAATACGAAATGGAAGGGGAAAAAGAGAGGAAGAAAAATAAGCAAGGAAACAAAGGAAGTTATATATAAAACGCAGGGAAATTCGGCTAATAAAAAACAGAATTATGCGTCATCGCGGGACGGTTCGGTATGGTGGTGTTGCACCCGCGTATATATTTACCGCTGTCTCCTATGATGAGCAACTTGAACAGATGATCGTACTCCCGGGCCATCTTAGCGTATACGACGCGCGTCGCTCCTTCTTCGATGCCGCGTCGTCGCAGCCTCCGGAACGTTCGCTATGCGTCACCCGATAAGTTTCCTCGCGGCGCTCTCAGCGAGAGATATTCTTTATGTGATTTTGCCGTCCCCACGACGTTCGCAGGGCTTCGTGTATAATATATGTATCACGGAAATTGTTAGTTAGACCGAACTATCGCTACCCCCGCACGATCCCCAGCAGTAGCAGGAGCAGCAGCAGTAACCGCGACTCGTCTGGATCGGAAGACGACTGCAGTGTCAAATGATCGCCATGTTTATACGTCGCGATATCACCACTCATTATCATTACGGCGGGAGAAAAAAAAGCTGCGTTCCTACGTTTAGCTGCGCGACGCCCATCCCATATCAGATTGTCACCAGCTTGTTACCGCCGCCATATTCCTTCTCGCGGACGACTTAACGGTGGCGTTCTTAACGACGTTAAGCTCGATCCTCAAGAAATAATCTGAGCACAAAAATTGTCGTAACACTTACTTAGGTCTAATCTACAATCAGTCGAGAGATGGAATTGTATATCGTGCCGTAAGAAATTAACTAATCATGATCGAGTGTTTTTTTCATATTCAACTGTGATTAGTCAATTCCTTACGGCGTGACATACGACAATGTCTCCCGAGTGATTGTAGACTAAGTCTTATGTCTGTTCTACAATAGAATTGTAAAACGTAAGCGTAAGAAATTGGCAATCACAGTTAAGTATGAGAAGAACTAATCGACTATGATTGGTTAATTTCTTACCGCTTACGATTCTATTGTAGAATAAGCCTTAGGATGAAATCACACGAAATAGACGTAGAATCGATTAATCATAGTTGATTATTCTCACATTCAATTATGATTGGTCAGTTTGTTCTTTTTAGAAATTTTTGAATTTTTTAAATGGTTATCTTTTTTCTTTTTCTCTCTAAAGTGAAAAAAAAAGAGAAAAGATGAATTATGCAAGAAGTTTAGCTAAATAAAAAATAAGCCAATTAAAGTTTATTCTGACAAAATATATATAGTCACATACGTGCACAGAAAATGGATCAATTAAATTTTTAAGCCAAATATTCTTAACCATTTATGTATTTCCTAGAATTAAAGGTCTCATTAGATGATCTAGAGCAGTAGACCTGTCCAGTTTGAATTTCGGAGCCAAAATGTTTGTGTCCACACTACATAATGCATAAAATTATTTGTGAATAAATCTTTATGCTGAATGTAAAGTGCAAACGCAAATAAAATGAACAAACTTTAACAAACATAACCTCACTATAATTTTAGATTTGAACAGCTGAGTACTTAGCAGAAACTGAAAAATCTGAAGATGACAGGAAGTTTATGTATATATCGTGTTTACATTATAAGTATTAATTTTGCATTAACAGTCTAATGGCAATTTTTTTTATAAAAAAAAAGAGGAATGTCATTTTAATAAAGGATTTTAATAAGGATTTTTAATTGTATACAAATTGAGATAAATATCTGTACATGACAGCTTTCTTCATATGTCAAATATGTCCTACTGATATTTGAAATTATTACATGGAAGATTTATGTACTTGAATATATGAGATTTTTATAGAACAATATATTTTTCAATATCTGTTGGAAGAAAGAGAAAGAAATGGTATTACCAGCACGTGTATCACATAAAGCCAACAGAGTCTCATACCATTATCACAATATCTTTGTGATATGCTTATTGTCATTTACATTATTTACTGTATTAATCTCAGTGTATTATATTTTTAAATTTGGTAATACACAGAAACATTCCGAACATATTCCTATAACTCTAAATGATATAAATACATTGCCCATTCAAACATTACCTGCTGACTCGAGTACTGCAGATGCAACCAATTCTTCCTGTACATATTTCACTTGTTTCAACGTTTACCGATGTGGCAGCCAGGGGAATAAACTTCTGGTATATGTCTATCCACTCAAGATATACTTAGATTCTATGGGTAGATCGATAACTGGACAGATGACGAAAGAATTCTATCAAATTGTGAATGCTATTATCAGTAGTAAATTTTATACTCCTAATCCATACGAAGCTTGTATTTTTATTCCTTCCATCGATACTCTCAATCAGAATAGATTGAGATTGCAAGAAGTCTCTCAGGCATTAAGAACATTACCTTTCTGGAACAAAGGAAAGAATCATTTAATCTTTAACATGGTGCCTGGCACTGTACCAGACTATAACACTATCATTGATGTACCAGTAGGAAGAGCAATGATTGCAGGTGCTGGAATGTCATCATTGACATACAGACCTAGCTTTGACATTAGTTTACCAGTGTACAGTCCACTTGTAAATAATCTGAAAACGAATCATAGTAATATGAGGTAATGTCTTTCATTGTTATTTTTCATAATTTTTATACACACGTATGTATAATTATTTTGCATTTTAGAATATGGCTGGTAATATCTTCACAAATCAACATTAATAATGCTTTTGAACAAGATTTAATAGAAATAAAGACAACATATCCAAAAGATATTTTAATACTAGGTCCATGTTTGCATTTTAATCCAATGAATAATACAATACGTTGTGTAGGAGAGAATATATACAAGTATCCTGATAGTCTGCAAGTAATACAATTATATTCAATATATATGCAAAATATTTTTATTAAAATATATAATTAAAAGTATTTTCTGTTTTTTTTTTAGACATCGATGTTTTGTTTGATAATCCGTGGTGCTAGGCTTGCCCAAAGTGCGCTTTTGGATGCAATGGCTGCTGGTTGTATACCTGTGATTATAGCTGATTCTCTAATGATGCCATTTCATGATGTAATCGACTGGACCAAGTAAGATGCACTCGTAAATTAATATTTGTTACACTTTTCAACATATAATTTATTTCATTTATAACTTTCTCTTATTATCAGGGCTGCTGTTTTTATACGTGAAGTTGACATTTTATTGACAATACAACTGTTAAAAAAGATATCTCCTCAACGTATTATGGACATGCAAGAACAGAATGCATGGCTTTACGATCGTTATTTTAGTTCAATGGAGAAGATTACTGAAACTACATTAGAAATACTTGCAGATCGTGTATTTCCACATTTAACACGAGATTATACATATTGGAATGTACCATCCTATAAGGTGGATAATTACTAAAGCAAGAAAACTTAATCTTTCGCGAATTTCTCAAACAAATTATTTTCTTTTTAGGGAAAGCCTTCACCACTCTTTTTGCCAGTAACTGCTCCTAAAACGCGTGGCTTCACTGCCGTAATATTAACGTATGATAGATTGGAGTTATTGTTCTTATTAATTAATAAACTTGTGAAGGTACCGAGCTTATCCAAAGTTCTAGTAATTTGGAATAATCAGCATAAAGATCCACCATACTGTAAGAGCACATTTTACATCTTGATTATTTGCTAAACTTTAAATACATACGTTCCATTTTAATTTAATGTTACAGCTACTAGATGGCCAAAAGTTAGTAAGCCATTAAAAGTAATACAAACGAAAGAAAATAAATTGTCTAATCGATTTTATCCATATGATGAGATTGAAACCGAAGCAGTATTATCAATAGATGATGATATTATTATGTTGACTGCTGATGAAGTAGAATTTGCTTATGAGGTATACTTAAAATAATTAGTCATAAAAATACATACTTATAGTATATTTATATTATATCTTTTCTAATACTAATTGAACGAAAATATATATTAATAAAACATATATAAACTTTCAGGTATGGAGAGAATTTCCAGATAGAATCGTTGGATTTCCATCTCGCTTACACATGTGGGATAATGGTACTAATTGTTGGAAGTATGAAAGTGAATGGACGAATAGTATTTCCATGGTATTAACAGGGGCAGCTTTTCATCATAAAGTAAGTGCTACGAACGCTTATACTGTTCTTTACTCAAAAAATTAGACGCTTTATTGTTTTAATAACATTTTTATTTAACATTTCAGACCACGCACATTATTATAAAAATCCTTGGATTTTATTTTTTTCAAAATACTAACATCCTCTCCTGTTATCCTCACCAAGAATGTATAAGTTAATCCGACAAAGTAAATTACACCATTTTTTGTACGAGTATTGGAATTGTATAGTATAAAACTTTAAAGGTCTTTAAACTTTAACAACAAGTCTTTCTTAATATATTTTTCAGTATTGGAATTACATGTATACTACAGCCATGCCTGGAGACATAAAGGAATGGGTCGATGAACACATGAATTGCGAGGACATCGCAATGAATTTTTTGGTAGCGAATATTACTGGAAAAGCTCCGTTAAAGGTAAGACTTTTGACAAAATATATTGGTATTATCTAAAAATTATATAAAATCTTATAGGTGACACCAAAGAAAAAATTCCGATGTCCCGAGTGCACCAATACTGAAATGTTATCCGCGGATTTGACGCATATGGTGGAACGTACACAGTGTATAAACAAATTTTCTTCTATTTATGGAACTATGCCGTTGGAATCAATTGAATTTCGTGCAGATCCGGTACTCTTTAAAGATGTGTTTCCAGAGAAATTAAAACGATTTAACGATATAGGCAGTTTATAAAAAAAATATGTAAAAAAATAATATTTTAAAGTAATTATGAAAGTTAATTTAATATAAATTAAAATAATACGATTATTGAGAGATCGGAAATTTTCTTCTATTAAAAAGGAAGAAAAAGATTAGTTTATCAAAAATATACATATTTATTATAATTAAAATGTATTTGAGTTGTTAATAGTAATCATTTTTTTATTTATATAAGTTGACTATAAAATATACAATAAAATATATAGTAATATAAAAGTTAGGAAAATTTGTTTACTGTACAAAGTTATGATTATGGAAAATGATTCAATATGGCAGCATTTCATGAAATTAATGGTTTTGTATAAAAATTTTTTGTATATAAATATCT